CCCAGCTAATGTTTTGTAGTTTTAGTAGAGACGGGGTTTCACCATGTTGACCAGGATGGTCTCGATCTCTTGACCTCGTGATCCACCCACCTCGGCCTCCCAAAGTGCTGGGATTACAGGCTTGAGCCACTGCGCCCGGCCAAGACTGAGTTTTAAACTATTGGATGTTCAAGAGACGAAAGGAATCAGTGAGATATAATAAGAGATGGTTAACACATTTCTATTTTGAATAACCTATTGTCACTGCAGGATTATGTGAGTTTAAGACTAGAAGCAATCAGAGCTGAATATCAGAAGATGCCTGTATTTCTCCATGAAGAAGGACAACGTAATTTGGAGATGCTGAAAAAGAAGGGCAAAGATACTTTTTGTCAACTTACTGAAAGTAAAGCCAAAATGATTCACAAGAGGGAGATTTTAAGAGGAATGTATGAGGAGCTGAAGGAAATGTGCCATAAGCCAGATGTGGAGCTACTTCAGGTATAAACTCACAATGTGATTTCAGGTTTTTGAATATTCACATGCATAGGTATTTTTCTCATGGCTGAAATCCATCTCCTTACTTTTATTTCCATGATTTGTTTCCAAAAACACATTCCCATAACTAATGCTGCTTTGTTGGGAGAGTATAGCCCCGCCACGGGATTCTACCAGACCAAAGTACCTCCTACTTTATCCACTAGCCACAAAATTTTGTGGAATGGACGAGGTAACATCCCCAATAAATATTCCCCATCTAGTCAATAATATATTTTGGATCATTGAACATGTATAAAATAGTGAAATAGTGAGTGATTTGTTTACATTTAGGTTACTCTGGGGACCTGGCAAGATCAGGAGTTTCTGGAATCTAGGCTTGCATTAATATTATGTTTGGGTCCATTCATTTTGGTGATAGGTTCTGGGAAGGGTGACTGAGTAGAGGTTCTTCCTGGTTACCACAGAGCATAGACTCTTTGGGCCTCTTCTCCCTTGACTTGTTTAGGGAATTTCTTCAAGACTCAGACTTTCCCAGGACATTAATTCGTGACAGTACCACTGACTGGGTTCTTCATTAGAGAAGAAACAGAAAATGCTTTCCAGAAGGGAGGATGGCAGGGAAATAACATCTTCAGAAACTAACTCCAAATCTCACAATGAACTTAGTAAAAGATGTGCCTTGTGAAATGCACTAAATCATTCTATTTTTTTTTACAGGGATTTGGAGATATATTACACAGGTGAGTGTGTACCTAGATTTTAGCATATGTTCTTTCAGTTTCCACAAACATCAAAGCAAACCCTACTAAAGTCATGGCATAAATAAGATATTGATACTAATTTTTCTGGATCTACTTTTGTTCCCACACAAAAAAAGACAAACCACAAAATAAATAAATGCATAAAAGAAGAGTGAAATAAAGCAAGCATGTTTATTCCCGATTTCTTTTTTGTCGCTTAAAAGCCTGCATAGGTAAAAGATAAAGTTCGGTTTTCTGGGTGGTGAGAAAGTCACGAGAGGAAGCAGGAGAGAAGAGGGGGAAGTATTTTAGCAGTGAGGAAGTGTTGGTGATTTCTTGTTTATACATATATACATATCAATTAAAAAGTCTGAAAAATAGATTGAAAAAACTGTGGAGAATTAGAACTGTGTAAGTCTCTAGGGAAGCTTGTTGCTAAAAGGCAGATCTCCCTACCTAGAACAAGTTTTGCATCCTTTATCTTGAAAGAAAGCCGCAGATGCAGCAGTCTTCCCAGAATCCCGCTATTTCAGACAAAGATTTCAGGGGAGTCTGCCAAGAAGTGGAACTCAGAATTTCATTTCTCAATACTTTCAAGGCCATAAGGCTAAGAAACCTTAGGAATTTAGGACAAAAAAGAAAAAAAAAAAAAGAAAGGAAAATCAGATTGAATTCTGTTTCAAACTCTTCCATCATGCTTTAAAATTCAGAAACGGAAATAAGAATACATTTCAAAAAGGAAGTAATAATTTTTGAATAATCAAATTTGTGGGTTCAAAGGATTCTTATGAAATGTCTTTTAAATACAAATAGTGGTTTTTATTTACTTTTTGGCTGTAGATGTTGCAACCACATCTTTCTCCTTGCAGGAGTGAGTCTGTGCTACTGCCCATGCCCCAGCCTGTGAATCTAGAGCTCAGTGCAGAGCCCATCACTGGACTGATGGACAGGCTCAACCAATTCCGAGGTAAGTCCCCACCCATTGGCAGCACTCCCACTGTCTAAATATTATTTGTTGTTAGGATCACATAGGTAGTATTTCACACTTTATCAGATATTTGTCTTCTTTATGAACATAAGTGAACAATACAGCCATGCAACCCTTTTGTACCTGTGTATGTATTTATAGTCAGATTTATAACATTAACATATAGTCAGATTTGAAAGATAGTGAGAAACAAACACATTCTGGCCTCCTACGCACTGAGTTATATAATGGGAAAAAGGAGTAGGGTAGCAAATTTTAAAAAGGAGCAAATGGAGCAGTGCTTAGAATGAAGGTGAGGTATTTAATGTTAAATACAAAATTATACATTTCTTTATTCATTTGAACTGCTAAAAACTGTTATTTTGGGGAATATAGTTTACTGTAGATTCTTGGGGATTTGTATTTTTTAAATGGATATATATTCATATATTACGAAAATTTGAGTTAATGTATAAAAATAAAAAATCATTTTGTGAATACAGTAAAATTACAAACAAAACTAAGTTCAGTTTAATTGCAATATGAAGAGCTATATGTTAAGTCTGAAATCCAGCTTCATCCCAGAGCTAGCATGGAGGACCACAGAAATAATGGTAAAAGATTTTGAAGAAATCTGCTTTAAATTACCACATATAACATGGACATAGGGATTTTTATCAGTTATCTAGAGTGGTTTTTGAGTAACTGAAAATCTTCACATTCTTTCAAAATGATAACACTAATTTTTAAGAATAAGAAACTTTTCTAAATAATTACCTTGATAACAAAATAGGATTTAGGGAATATAATGTGTACATTTTGCTTTGAAAATTGGATTAAAAGAAGTTAGTCAGGCCGGGCGCGGTGGCTCAAGCCTGTAATCCCAGCACTTTGGGAGGCCGAGGCGG